GGCTGCTTCCGCCCGCAAATGTCAGACCGGCTCCCCAGAGGCGCTGGGAGTTCTGGCGGGACCCGGGGCTCCAAAGGCCGGAGGGCTAGACTTACTTGGGGCTTGGGGCGAAGTACCCACCCTGCCAGCCGCCGGAGCAGCTCCAGTGCGCGCGGGAGTTAGCTAGAGCCTGGGAGAGTGGGGTTCGCTGGGAGGAGAAGCTCGCGGGAGAGGGAAGGGAAAGTCTTAACACGTCAAGGCAAAGTCCACTTCTGTTTGCGCGCGCGCGCGCGCGCTTGTGCAAGCGCATGCTTGCCTGCAAAGGTGAGAACTTGAGAGCTTTAGAGCTGAAACTACATTTTTTTCGCCCGCAAGTTATAAAACGTTGGGAGTAAATCAACACCGGGGCAGTGATTAAAGTCTAAACTTTAGCCCGCGCGGTTTCTTTCTGGGAACAGTTATCTTGGGCTGACTACTTCTTAGCAGGCAACGCAGAAAAAGAGTGTTTTGTTTCCCTTCCGGGAATCCCTCTTAAGACTGTAAACCGCCTTATCAAATTTGTTTTGGTTTTGATTTGTTTGTTCTTTCATGCTCTGGATCATTTCCTTGTATCCCCCCCCCCTTTTTTTTTTTTTAGCTTGCACTTCCACTGTACTATCCAGGTCCGGAGCGAGCGGGAGGGAACCCAGACCTCCCGGCTCTGGCAGCCCTAGTTCTTCCAGTACAGCTACAAAGGGTGCACCAGATCTTGACCTAGAAGCACAGGCTGCAGCCTTCGCTCCCTGGGGCCAGGTCTCAGAAATGCCACTTGTTGCCTGATCAGAGACCTGATTCCCGGAGATATGTTTGAACTGTAAAACCTCTGGAAGTCAATAGATTCTAATTTTATTGGGCCCAGGGAAGTTCAGGCACTATGGCTGGAGTGTTTGCAAATGGTGTCAACATCTCCCAGGGTGGCCCAGTGAGGAAGGTGTGCTCAGCTCCATTTTACAGGTGGAGACAGCGGGTTCAGCCAGCTTCAATAATTCAGTTGAGATCACACAGCTTGAAAGCGGCATAACTGGGGCTTAATTTAGATTTAATTTCAACAACTCAGGCAATTTGTTAATTGCTCCTGATTTCCAGATTACTACAGAGTGGAACGGGAAAAAAATGGTGATGTCTGGAACCAAGTGTAGCAAAATTTTCAAAGCCCAAAGCAATGCCAGGGAGATATACGCATTTATTTATATATCCAAATAATTATAAATCTAAAATGCTACAAATTAAACATAATTTTGTTTTTATTTTTGCTCATATATTCCTATAGGAAATTGAAGTTTATTAAGTAAAATTTTAATACACATTATTTATTTTATTATTATTTTTAAATCTATCTATATCTTCATGGCACTTACATTTGTTTATTATTTTTTCTTTTATAAATACATTTTTTACATTATTCTTCATTTTGTACATTTTTTTTCATCTCAGTTGTAATCCCAGTGGGCTTCCCACCACCACTTCACTCATGTGTATCACCATAGTCCCATGTGCTCGTCCCACTCCAGTTTTGATCTTAATACAAGTGATTTTTAAAAATTTGACATAATCATTGTTTACATTTTGTAGTATATCTTCCATTTCCTATGATCCCGCCTTGCAACAGGCCCTGCCCAGCAAGCCTCTGTTCTTAAAGACATTTTCATTGGCTCATGTCACCTTTGTCTCCTGAAATGTTTCCTTTCTGCTTTT